TGTCCTTAGACGAGATGGAGAAGCAGCTGGTAATACTAAGGAGAGCGCATCGCTCCGCTAAGGATTGGTGTTTTTCCTCAGCGGTCATCGTTCTCGGAAGTCCGGGCGGCTCCTTCTGAGGCGGACCCAATAGCGACAGAGGTTCCTGAGGATATCACGTTGGAGAAGAAGGGCTTTCCTCTAGCTGTTGAGGCTATGCCCTACCTTATTAGAGTCAGGGTAATGCATATGGGTTTGGGAAGGAGAGTTTAATTCGCTGTGGATTGGAAGAGTGTTTCAGCTATACCGAGTGTTAGCTACTTCATAGGATATGGTGCTGAACGAACGGTGTATTCATGCATACACATAGCTCTTCTTGTTGTTGTTTATGTTCATGTTGTTGTTTATGTTGTTCTTCATGCTCATGTTGTTGTTCATGTTGTTGTTTATGTTGTTTATATTCTTGTTTATATTTTTGTTTATGTTTTTGTTTATGTTGTTGTTCATGTTGTTCTTCATGCTCATGTTGTTGTTCATGTTGTTGTTTATGTTGTTTATATTCTTGTTTATATTTTTGTTTATATTTTTGTTTATGTTTTTGTTTATGTTGTTGTTCATGTTGTTCTTCATGCTCATGTTGTTGTTCATGTTGTTGTTTATGTTGTTTATATTCTTGTTTATATTTTTGTTTATGTTTTTGTTTATGTTTTTGTTCATGTTGTTGTCTATGTCGTTGACGTTTTCTCACTGTCGACTCGCGTGAGCTTGATACAGCGAAAGTGGATGGAACATTTCTATGTACTGGTCCGAATCTGAATTAATTGACCATGCGCGTATATGATTCCATGTATTACATTTCTCGTTATCATCGATTTACGTCTCTACTTCACGCGGCCTCGAGTGTTTACGGAAAATGTAATTTGTCTCAGCCAATCAAAGATATTCATCGACTGCAGCTACAGTGGCAGTTGCCACCACAAAATGGGATGTACCGCACAAAGCCAGCTAACACGTTGGGGCATCTCATAGGGCATGAGGGTAATACTAAGATGATAGTATTAGTAATAGAGACCATGTCTCAGGTTCCGGTTCACTGTTATCCTTCCTGAGATCGAAAGGGCTTGCAACAGACCTGTCAGCTGGGGTGTCTGAGGAAGGGTAAGGCTGATAGATGGACATTCGCTCGGGGGGAACGTTCATGTGTTCGAGTACGCGATTTTCACAAGTATTTTTTGGGCTGCTTTGAAGAGACGCGAACCTCTCTTGGAAAATGTGTGCATTTTGTGGTGGTTGATTTTTTCCCTATCATACTAGCGCTAGCACAGAGGAAAGGGTTGCATTTACTCTACAGCATTTTCAGGTCAAACTAATTTTTTACCTACTTGGTTGATGTTTTATCTTTCTAGTCAACTGTTTTTACCCATGACTTTGCCAAAATATCAAGAAAATTTATATAGTGGAGTTTCACCCGTTTTACGTAAAACTCGGTGAAAAACGCGATATTCGCGGCCTGTACTAGTCGTGAAATATGTTTTCCACTAGTGTTTTTCATATCACGGGTGAAACTCCAGTATTAATAATGTTAATATAGCCCCGGTTTATTTGGAAGTTTAGGAGTACAATTTAGCCGAATTGGTTTGACCTAGAAATGCTGTAGTTGACGTTACGTTTGGAAGCAGTACGGGAGTTGTGTCAGTTACGGTAGCAACTCTATCTGCAGTATATTCGACATCTGCGTGACGCTTTCTACCAAGGGGTTAGCTTTGTGGAAGGAAGTTGCTGTACATGTTATGGAGTAAACTACAGGGATGTCTACGATCGCTCAGTGCGGAGTTTATGGATTTCTAGAATAACCTCTAACCGCCGGTGATCATATAGTAGAATAGCATCTTATAGGTATTTGGATATGCTGAGGAGGTTGGGTTCGATTCCTGATTGGGTATATGAGGAAATCAGACAGGTGAGGGTCTGCGTGGTTTTGAACAAACTGAATTTCTTCTTCTTCTCGTTGGTAAAGCGTGTCAAGTAGAGTCTATTTCGACTGGGAGGTCTTCATATTGACGGCTTGGAAAAGCGGAAATTAATAGTGATGTGTTAGATGTGAGTCTCATCAAGAGACTGACTATGTTGTGGTATCGACGCGTTGATTGCTCCTCGTAGGAGGAGACACGATTTCACCAAGTTCTTTCCCGTGGCATTTTTGTGGTTTTTGTAGGTTAGCAATATGCAGTATCGATTTATGGAAGAGAGGGATCCCTCCACTACTGCAGATGATCTGTCGACCTCAATGCTACCAGTAAGATGGGCTCGTGTTAGGATCGCATTGTCGTTGTTTCGATGCTCACAACTTTTAGCTGAGCGTTATACCTGTTGTGCAGTTGCACAGAATAGTAGGAATAGTGACATAGCTCTCTCTTTGGCTGCTGGTATCATACCAGTGGTATGGTTCTGGTTATGGCTCTCGCAACGGTTACTGTTATTGCGACTGTTGCAGCGTGAGAGAATATTCACATGGTCAGCTACATGTATCGGTGACAATGAGATCCTGATAGTTTCCGTACACTCTTATGAAATCCTATAATTAGTGAGGAAACTCCTGAACTCAGCTGAAGAGAGCGAACATATACTCCTGGGCTGCTGACATAGAGTTTTCTTATTGCTGATGTCGGTGATGGTCGTTGCATAGTAGATATGTTTGCTGTTTTCAGTCTGCCAAGATTGCTTACGAGAACCTCCTGAATAGCTCGTATTATTTGGAGCCTGAGTTCAAGCCGGCTGAGGTGAATGAGCTGCTGAACGAGTATATCATCTCCGACAGAATGTTGCTAGTGCTCACCAGCAGTGTGAGTGGCCCTATGGATGAAAAGTGGGGGAAGTGTTATGTAGGTGTTCGGACGGAGTAAGGGCACTGAGGAAGAAGGGGAAGACGACATTGAGGCAGACGACGAGGGTGATGACGAGGGTGATGACGATGATAGTGATGATGATGAGGATATGGAAGAGGATGAGGAGGAGGAGGAAGCAGCTGGGGATACACCTGAGGAAATGCTCGAGAAGATGACTAATGAGATGGGACTCAATATCGAGGGTACCGGGTTATTCAGAATATAGCCGCGAGTTGGAGGAAGTGGTCTGTGATACTCCAGAGTCGTATTGATAGATAGTTCAGTTGTCATAACTCTGTTAGTGTCATAGTTTGGAGAATCGGATATTTCGTAGAGCCCTTAGGGCCCCTTAAACATCGCTTTTACCAGGGAGTAGACTTTCCAAGTGTCCGGGACGCTGATAGAAATTTCCTTAGGTCTCTTACCAGAAGGCGGCGCTCCGGAAGCTGAGCCGTGGTTTGGTGTGGAACACTGGCGAACAGCACTTGATGATGACTTCAAGGGCCGCCTGGCTGCTCCTAACGTCAACGACGAGCTCGCTCTTCCCAAGAGGAACGCGTGAGTAGAAATGTATATTGAAAGATGTTTAGTGCATACCCTTTTCTCATCTGTGACCATCAGCGAGAGTGGTTGTTTTTTCTTCGCTGTGTGAATGAAATCCTATTATTTCTCACCACTTAGTAGCACTGAGTAGCGATCACCGTGTTAGATGTCAGTTACATCGCTACGGACTTTACCGTCTACGACTCCTCTACGAGCTGTTCTGACCTCCCTGGAGATGTGTTCCCCAAGAATGAGGAGAGTGAGTCATCCGTAGACTGATTCGCGAAGTGGAATCTGATCCCTATCAGAAGCAGAGGGTGTCACAGGCGTGTCACCTTTCGATGGCTTCCCGATTGTGCCGACTGATCGCCAAGCCCCTAAAATGATGGTTGTCGGTGTAGACCAGTTCTTCTACCTGCCGAAAACACTCGTGGCAGCGACGCCTCGGTGTGATATACGTGTAAGTGGTGACACGGTTGGTGTGGTGATACAGGCTGACTCTTCCTTGGCTCAGATCCGCCTGGCTACCCCACTGTTTGTTAACGATATTACTATGTTTGTGCGGCAACGGCTGTGGGTTGAACTTGCTAAGGAGGCGTTGATCGAAGAGACCTACTTGGCGGAGATGGCTGGCTTGGCGACTGAGCTCACTTTTGCTGCACAAGGCCTTGAACTTCGTGTTTATGGTTTTAAGGATTCTCTGGCAGCTCTGATGAGAAACGTGAGACATCCTATATGTTGACTCTTCAGCTCATGAGGATCTTGGTGTCGCATTTTGTGGTATGCAGTTTGCAATGTTTTCGTGGATCCTCTTATCCTCCGCAGCTGACAACGATTGTGGTTGTAGGTATTGGAGGTCATTCTTAACTTGAAAAAAGCTGAGGGTCTACTGGAGGGACGTTTTGGGGCTATCAAGGAGGCTCTGGAACGACGGTGGGTACACGATCAGCACTCTGTTGTTTGTTCTCGCAATAGCTTATCTGGATTCATGCGAGAGGTCCCGAGTTCGATCCCTGGAGGATCCGCTTTCTGATCCACAGGTTCTTCAATGAGGACATGCGTCCTATTCCCTGCGCCTCCGCCATTCGTAGGATGACCCTCCTTTCACGCGTAATGGAAATGAATCC